GCGGCGGCAGTCCATAAGAAGTGGTGATGGGAGTGAACTTCCTTTCCTTCTTGCGGGGCTGCTTGGGCGTTTGTGGGGTAGAAGAAGGAGTGGCAAAGTTGATTGCGTGCACGGACTCATCCTTCTTCTTGCTTGGCGGGCTTCTTGAAGGAGACACCGGCTTGGGAAGACCGTGCGATCTTCCCGCTCCTTAATCCTTGCTCCACCCTCTCGCCTACAATGACTATATCCGAGAAGAGGTTGGAGGTACGGCTATTGCCTTGTCGTAGTACGCTCCGGTCGGTGAGTCGATGAACATAGCCACTTGTCTCCTTGTCCGTCAAAGGAGGCTCTATCTGGGCTGCCATTTCCCTCCACCTTTGGGCATACGCTTTAAAGGGCTCGTCGCCCCTTTTGCTCGAGCTACGAGATCCGACCTATCGGGGGTCGGATCGATGTTGTAACTGGTAGCGACGGAGAAAAGCGTCCGCCAGCTGCTTCCGGTTCCGGACCTGCCCTCTCTCCAAGCTGCATGTACCGGTTGAGAGCTGTATCCGCCGGACTCTCCTGAAAGCAATGGATCGGGAGTTTCTCGTTGTCGGCATGGGCGGCCATCTTACGGCAATACATCGTAAGATGGTTCTTAGAGCGAGTCGGTCCGGCGTACTTGGGAAGTCCGGGACCTTGAATTTGGGAGGGAAGCGGATGTCTTTCACGAGGCACATATCGGCCACCTCCTTGACGTCGAAGTTATGTCCTTCGACCGCCTTCGACCTCTCCTCCAAGGCGGAGAGTTGTTGTTTGGATACTTCGGGGTAAGGATGCGTGCGGTCTTGGCATCCTTCCCGCCGAAGAAGTATTCTTCTTCTTCTTCCTCTTCGTGATGGGAAGGGGCATTTTCGGCTTGGCCCTCGGCGCCCTTGCTACGGCCTTGGCGTATAACCTCCATTAGTTGAGCTACCTGCTCTCGGAGGGTATTAACTTACTGCAGTGAGCTTCGGTTTTGCTCCTCTAGATTTTCCATTGCCTTAGCCTTTTGCGCACGAGTACGAGTAGGAAAAGGACCAGCCACTTTCTAGAATGTCCGAAAAAGTTTTATTAATGCATGTTAAGTGCTTAAACTAACATGGGATATGCTTATGCATGAGAGTTTTTTTTTTTTTAAATGATGCTTGAATGCACTCCCATTTTTATTTTCTTTCTTTGGTTTTTCTTTACTCATGATATGATGTAGTATGGATGTTTTGACTTTGTCAAGAGTTGTTTCGCTTATTTTTGGATTTTATTTAAATTTTTTTATTTTATAGCCTTTTATCTCTTACGTCGGAACTGCGTGGCTACTTAGCTTACAAAGAACACGAAACCAGGCTAGCTAAAAGGCGGATCGTCCGAGATAAAATGTGGCTTTATGAAAGAATATTTATCGTCCCTTATCTCTCTTGTCGGAACTGCGTGGCTACTTAGCTTGCAAAGAACCTGAAACCAGGCTAGCTAAAAGGCAGACTGTCCGAGATAAGGGTGTTTATTTGTAAAATATTTTTGTGATTTTGTTCTGTTGTTTGTTTATGCTATGCAACATACAAATGCAACAAACATATGCACACACAATTCGATCATCCCCGAACAAGCGAGATTCCGTTTTTATCACGAGGTAGGGTTCTCCTGCAGAAAAGTGCGTTGGTTTAGGGTAGGTTCTAACTGTTCTCACCAGGCTAAGGCCCCCAAGGTGCCCCCATTATAGGGTCCCCACTCTCCAGCCGTCCGACCATGCTCAACACTAAGGCCAGAGTCGGTCTTGTTGCCAAAAGAGGAAGGTTATCACCTTGAGTGGTGGTTTCCGATCACACTGGTGGGCACACGGCCCTAACTGCAGCGAACCGTACCGCCACCCACTCCCTATGGTTATCTCTCTTGCCCCCGGGTATAGGAGGAGCTGTAGTGTGCAAGAGATTGTGTGCGGTTTGTATCTCAATCAATTGCGTAAGTATAAACAAACAACGGTTTATTGAAAGCCAAACAATAAAACATGTTAAAAATACAAGTTAAGGGCAAAAGTGTGTTTTTCTTGGTTTATTTATTGTTTAAGCCGGCCCATCACTAAATGGGATTAACTCTCTAGGCTTCCCCAGTGGAGTCGCCATCTGTCGCCGCCGTAAAAAACGAGGCGGTCGAAGCGACGCGATGGTTTTATCGACCCTCTTGTTTTCGCGTTTTTATTGGTGGTTACAACGTCCTTAGGTTGTCCGATATGCAGGGCTAACCTAAAGACGAGGTTTTCGAAAGGTGTCCTTGAGCTGTCCGACAACCGGGCTAACCCAAGGATTTATTTATTTTGGGTTCTATGGAGTCGCCACCGATATTTTTACCATAAACATCGGAAAAGGGGTTTTAAAAAGGCGTTGGTTTTCGAAAACCAACTTTGGTCATTAGAACCAGAGTTGGGTAAGGGAGTTGGTTACGTGCAAAGGGAGTATTAATCCCTTTGCGACGCCCCTTTCGGGTTCCCTATGATAGGCCGGCTTATTTTTATTGATAAACTAGAAAAACGCACTTTTGCCCTTTTTATTCTGCGGAATTTAAAAGTATGACTACATGGCCCTAATGTCTACTGCATAATTTAAGATAAAAGCGGTAAAGGTGGAAAGAGAGAATTTGAACCTCCAAAGCACGCTTTTTATATTAATTCTCGGAAAAATAGGGTGCTTTATGGCAGCCCTTCACTCTACAAGACGTCGGAAACCTCTCGAACGCCGAAAATCACTCTTGAAAACACTCGAAACTCGGAAATGCGTCGGAGGGATTCTAGAGAGAAGTTTTAGAGAGAAGGGAGAGCTATGCAGCTGTGGTGTGTGGAAATGAGGGGGAGAGCCCCTATTTATAGGTTTCCGCGCTGTCAGGTGGCGAGACCGCCGGTCTCGTCTGACAGCAACGAGACCGCCGTCTCGCACAACGAGACCGCCGTCTCGTTTAACATAAGCAACGAGACCGCCGTCTCGTACAACGAGACCGCCGTCTCGTTTAACATGAGCAACGAGACCGCCGTCTCGTACAACGAGACCGCCGTCTCGTTTTCGCTGGTAACGAGACCCCGGTCTGGGTGAACGAGACCCCGGTCTCGTTTTCGTAGTCAACGAGACCCCGGTCTTGTTGGAGCATCCGTCGCTCAAGCGAGTATACCAGTCGCTTGAGCGAGACTTGACCCGGGAGTCCCCTTTGTTTGCGGCACCTGTCGCTCAAGCGACGGACGTACTCGCTTGAGCGAGACTTGACCCGGGAGTCCCCTTCAACGCGAGAAACTTTATTTTGGGCCAAAAAACCCTCCTATCTTGGTATGGGAGCCTAATAGTCTCTCCTAGTGGCTTGTTAGGCTCCGGCCGTCTTCGAATAGGGGACCTTCTGACTTTATTTGGAGGCCGGGCAAGATTTGGGGTCTACAGTACCCGAATGACTTTTAACTGCAATTGTTCCCGTGCCTTTCACATCCATTTGTTCTCCATTACCAATTCTCACTTTAGAAATATGTGTGATTCGTTGAGTTCTTTGAAAAATTCTCGATCATGAGTCATGTGGTTTGTACAACAATTGTTTATTAGCCAACCTGTAGATTTGTTGATTGTAGAGCATGTTGATGCAAGGAGAAATACCTCTTCTACTCTATCCTCTATAAATTGAACGACTTCCTCTGGTTGTGATTTCCATATCTTTTCTATATGTCCCAATTGACCACATTTGTGACATTTCACATCAGGCCTCCACTAACACTTGTTGGGTGTGTGATTATTTTTCTTGCAATAAGGACAAACAGAAAATACTCGTGATTTTGTACTTTTGTTGTTCTTGGCTTGGAGAGAACCTCCATCATGATATAGTAAAGAACCTTCACCAGCAGCATGATCTTCTCTCATCAATCTTCGCTGCTCTTGCGCTTCTAGGGACCCAACAAGCTCTTTAAGGGTGAGCTTTGACAGATCCTTGGACTCCTCTATTGTGCACACAATGTTCTCGAAATCATCTGTTAATGATCTTAAAATTTTTTCAATAACTTAGTTTGATGAAAGAATCTCACCATTCTGATTTAACTTGTTCACCACGGTCTCCACCTGAGTAATGAACTCGATACGCTTTCAAACTCTTTCATCCTCATGTTTTCAAGCTTGCCCCTAAGGGTTTGAAGTCGAACTTGTTTCACCCTGTCATTTTCTTTGTTTGCTTTTTCAAGTGTATCCCATGCTACTTTGGAGGATTTTGCGTTAGCTATCTTCTCAAAGCCAGATTCGTCGACGACTCGGTATAGTAGATACAAAGCTGCCTTGTCTTTAACTCGAACGACCTTCAATGCGTTCAGCTGGGCATTTGAATACCCATTTGTGTTCGCCGGTTCCTCATACCCATTCTCGACCACGTCCCAGTTATCTTGAGATCCGAAAAGAACCTTCATTTGTACCTTCCAGTTGTCATAGTTGGCGTCTTTCGTCAACTTGGGTAGCGGGATGTCATTGGTTAGACCTGTCATTTCCTCTCGAAGTGTTTGCACTCAACTCACACACCTCACAAAGTTATGGGTTGCTCTTCTCTCTTTCTCAGACGCTCACCTCACACACAAGCTCTGATGCCAATTTGTTGATATTTTTAAAGGTTTTGTGTATATGTATTTCTGATATATCATATGAGTATATTTTTATTCATTCATGTACTCTATGTATATATAGAGTAAAAATATTATAAAATATTAAATATTCATAATATCTCAATCATAACTACCTAAATCAAAATAATAACCTAATAACTTTTTACCTTCTCTCTTAAAAGATAATAAAATATTTTAATACCTAATTTAAATAAAAGATAATAAAATAATATTCCCAACCATATGGTGGAAAGGACTAATATTACTTCATAAGATCTTCAAGTCGTTTTAGTAGCTAGGTGTAGTAGTAGTTGTAGTACTTAGTTAAGAACAATTGCAAGACTGTTTCAGATATAAACTTCTTCACAACATTTTAATCACTGTAAGTAATTAATCATTGATGAGACTGAGTAGAAAAAGAACAAAATAAATATGGACAAAAGTATTTAAGTACAATAATAATAATAATATATGTATACTTACCTTTTCAATTTGCATCTGCGGTTGTAAACTGCTTGGTTTTTTCTTTTTGACAACAGTCAGAAAAAGAAGCAAAAAGGCACTGTGAATACTGGCAAAGAAAGCAGCTAAATGTGAGAGTCCTTGTTGAAGCATTGGTTGTGATGTGGTCTTGTGGTCGGTGGTAGCTATCGTTGCTTTCATGGTTACCACTGGTTTTCTTTCTCCTTTAGCAGAAACCATGTTAAGATCTCCATTCAAACTAGCCCTGCTATGGGGCCGTACACATTTCATGTACAAAAAGTCAGAAGAAGAAGAAGAAGGAGAAGGAGAAGGAGGAGGAAGTTGAATTGGCCTAGAGTTACGCAATAATATTCTAGTGGTTGCCATTCACAATTGAATTGAGTTTGGTCCAATTGGTATTAGAATTTTATGGCGTACGAGGGTGTCTTAATACATACCACGAATATATATATGCATGCGTATCATGCACAAGAATTAGAGCGAAGATTCGAGGCATATTTTGGCTCACTTTGGACACATGCAGAACTTTTGAACAGACTAAGAAATTTACTAAGCCAGCTCGCACATGACAATTTTGGCTTCAACTTTCGAGAACGTGTGGGTCCTCTTGTGTTTTGCATCGAACACGTGTCCCAACCATTAGGATTTTTTTTAAGATCTTTATTTTGTACTTAAGCATGTCTTTAGATTAAATGTAATGATCTATTTTCATAGTTTGTTATGCGATGAAACTGTTGTTTTTTTTGTAATAATTGTTTTAAAAGAATATATGAGTGATTTTTAATTAATAGATGATGTAAAAAATTTCATAGTGATAATATATTAAAATTAAATTCTTTAAATTCATGTGATATTTAATAAAAATAAGAGGCAAATATAATTTTGTCAAATAAATATTTAATCATATATTTTAACGTAAAAAGATAAAAATTTTCAATTAAATACAAAATCTTAAAAGTTAATTAATTTTATTCAAAATATATCATTTTATGTTTACTATATATATGGTATTTAAAATTTTGAAATTTAAACTTTGAATTTAAATTAAGATTGGATATATATATATATATATATATATATATATATATATATATATATGATTGGTTCCAAACTGATGTAGTATGAAACGAAAATAAATATTTTCATTTTCATTTATGTAGTTAAAATAATGGAACAAAAACTTATTCAACACAAAAAATAAAAGGATAACTATTAAATGCAATTTATTTATTTAAAAGACTGAGACATAATTTGCATAAAAAATAAAAACTGACCTTTAGAACTTGTTTCTTCTACAATTGATATTTAAAACTTGTATCCAAGTCAATTTTAACATCAAATAAAATTAAACAGATGCTATTAATGTTTTATAAAAATGCGAAATTGAAAAAGTTCGAGTAGAGACAATTAACTAATTAAAATTGTCTTATTTGTGAATTTCAAAATAATTAATTACTCATCTAATCATACATATACATATACTTACAACTGTAAAAAGTACATTCTGATTAAATTCAACAATTAATCCTTAAATTATAAATATAATGTTGAATGTAAAGACACTTTTTTATGTCCTTTCTCTATGACCTTTATTTATATATTTAATAATGCTCATTTTATATTTTTATAAAATTAATTAATATTTTCAAATCTTTATTCAATGTTACCACCATGGGTGTTTATTAATTTGTGAAGTTGTTTAGTGGTCTGAATTTGAGTCATTATATGTAATAGGTCTTAATTAAATACTTGGAAAAAAGTTTTAATGTTCATATATAATCCTAGCCAAGTAGAATTATTTTTAATAGAGGATGAATCATATGATTTCTAAAAAAAAAACAAATTTTTATTCAATAATTATTTTTCCACATAAAATTTCATTACTTTTTATTTCATATGAAAATTACATAACATGTGGTAATAATGTGATGATGTACTTTTGAAATTGTTTCATGGGGAATTTGTTCTGTAGTGCTGTGTTAGCATGGGAGCCACAGCCGCCAAAGCCGTACCAAACTCTTAATTTTTATTTTTTATAAAATAAATAATAAATAAAAAGGAAAAAATTTCAGCCACTAAAATGATGACGGCAAGGTAAAGATGTGTGAAACCCAACAATTTTCCAACCCACTCGGAACAGAAACCCTGTTTCGGAATTGTCAGATTTCTTCGCACGCGCTTCTAAACAATGTTGCAAACCCAACCGTCATCATCTTCTTCAGTTTTTTTCCTTTTCATTATTTATATTTTTTATCATTTTATTTTCATATTTTTGTTCGATGAGTTAAAAATTATGTGTGTGGATTTACTTGTTGTGAACATAAAAATTAGATACTTAGTCATTATTCTTACCTTTATTCTTTTATAATTTAATAATTTAAAATATAAATAAAATAATGAGAATGAAAAACAAATTTTTTTTTCTTAAAGTAAATAAATATTTTAGTTTTTCTTTATATATAATAGAGGAGGTTGACATCGTAGAATCTTCAAATTTTACAATTATAAGAGACAAATCCATCTGTTAAGATTTAAAAAAAAAATCAATATACAAGAATATAAAAAAGAAAAAAAAGCAAATTATATATACAAGTACAAAAATATATATGTTTTTAAATTTAAATGTATCTATAGAAATAAATGTATTAATAAAATAAAAATAATAATATCTCGAATAGTTTATGTGGAATTGTTAAAATTTCCGACATCAAACTTGACAAATATATTTTAGTGTTACCAATGAGTTTTTAATTATTGACTAAACAATCTCGAAATTTAAATATATATCATAAAGAAATAAATAAATAAAATAAATTGATTTAATAAATTTAATAAATGAAAACTCGATCAAATTAGTCAAGCTTTCAAAAAGATTTATTTTATTAGCTTTATTTTCATATCATGTAAATGTAAATTTGTGGCTTGTAACATGTGCGTAATTCCATTTTAATTAGTTATATCATGTTATCAAATTCAACTTCAATAACTAAAATTTGGTATCAACTTATCATATTTATATTTATAATTAATAATTTATATTTTATACTAGATATTTTCGCACATATTAAAAGATATATCATATTTTCTTAAGAATGATAAAAAAACATTATATATATATATATATATATATATATATATATATTAAGAATTACATTAACAAATTGTATTGGATATATTTAAAAATATAATAATAATAATAATAATAATAATAATAATAATAATAATAATAATAATAATAATAATAATAATAATAATTTGTGTGAGATACTTTGCTAATATATGAATAAATTTTTATATACTTATTAGGATACTATGTTACATTAAATTTTCTTTAATTTCTGATTAAATACTTATAAATTTTATATTTTAATAAAATGATACATATCCTTCTTACAAAATTTAAGTAATATTTATTTTTATCACGACTTAATTCTTTTACATTCTTAATAATATGATACTTATTTTTTCTCATTTTCTTTATAGAAAACATGTTTTTTAAATTTTTTACAAAAATTCTTTACATATTGTATTTTTAAACTTGAATTTTAATTTTTAAATTATAATTATTTGAAAATCAGAGAGATCAATGTTTATTTAAAATACAAATCATATAATTATTTAATTAAAAATATAAAAGAAAAGAAAATAAAACATCTATTTGAAAACTAAAATGATATACTACTGTCATCTACCACGAGAAAAAAAAAAAGCTTTTTTATCCATGAAATATTTTTCATAAATTTGTTTTCTTGGGTAGTTATCAATTTTCATGAAAATATTTTGTGGACAACTCAAATGGTGGTGACTGATAATATGACACCTTTTACATAAACATATACTAGTGGGAAAAATTAAATATGTTGGTTGATGATATCATGTTTGTCACATATGTAAATGTGGTGGAAACATAAAATTCATAAAAATAATGAATGTCTGTAGGTAATAATGTAAGTTTTTCATAGATGAAAAATTAGTGGAGAACATAAAAAGAAAAAAATGAGCTCTTTTTTCTGTCTGACAATTGATTAGAGTTTTTATTTTATTTTATTTTCTTTGTGTGGAGAAAGAGAGATTATGAAAAATTTAACAGTAATATTCTTTTATTATTTTATTTTGATTCTCAGTTTAGTCAATTTAACCTAAAATTTATATTTTTGTTCAGTATACTTAGAGGATATATTTTTAATTGATACTTAACATAGGAGAAGTACATGAAACAATGTCATATATATTTTCAAGTTCTGTTACATTAGTTTTGAATAAGTCCACGTCGATTTTAGGAAGTAGTGTGTCTTATGCCTATAAATAATTTATTTAACAGTTTTTTATTTATCTGATATAAGGCTATAAAGTAGTCAAACTTATTCTTCAATAATATAAAGTGCAATTTGCTCATTCTTCATTTTATCTTTACATACGGTTACAACATTCTGGTATCAGAGCTTCATTCCGGAGCTTGATCACCACAGTAGAAGTCATAATCTTCTAATTATCACACAAAATGACATTAGAAAACTTATTTGTGTAGCCTGCCAATTTGATGGGCATTATGACTAATGAGTTATGCTGATGGAGAAATTCTTGAGATCTAAGGAGTATTGGGGGCTGGTGCAACATGGCATCCCATAATCGGCAGCAGACACACCTTTTACCGAAGTACAGAGGAAACATGTTGAAGATCAGAAATTAAAGAATTTGAAGCGAAAGAATTACCTATTTCATGCATTGGATTGTTCAGTTCTAAAAACAATCCTCAACAAGGATACCGCAAAGGATATATGAGACTCATCGAAGCAGAAGTACCATGGAACTTCAAGGGTCAAGAAAGTATAATTACAAGCTCTTTGAAAAGAATTTGAAATTCTTCACATGAACCAGGGAGAATCTGTTAATGATTACTTTATTCGGACACTCACCATCGCAAACAAGATGAAGCCTATAATGAAAACAAAGGTGATGTTGCAGTTATTGAGAAAATCCTAAGATCCATGACTCTTAAATTCGATTATGTTGTGTGTTCCATTGATGAATCTAAGGATACCGAGACATTGACTGTTGATGAACTACAAAATAGTCTCCTTTTACATGAACTTCAGATTAAAAGAAAAAGGAATATGAGAAAATGATTGGAATGAATTTTCTGTATTGCAACAGGACAATGATTACAACTTATATAGGAAAAAGAATAACAAAAAAGAGAGAATAAAGCATATTCATGTACTATTTACAGCTCATATATTCTAGAATGTACATCTGGGTAAGAAACAGAAAAGAGAATTAACTACTGTATTATGCTCTAATTAATTAGGGTCTTCTTCTTTTAGCCCCTCACAAGCTGGAGGTAGGTAGATATCAATTAACTGCAGCTTGGATAAATTCACAGTGAAAAGGCGAGGTGGGAGGGCTTTGGTGAAAATGTCAGCCAATTGGTTTGAAGAGGAAACTGGAAGCAGCCGCATAAGACCAACCTGTGATTTCTCTCTAACTAGATGACAATCAATATCTAAGTGCTTTGTCCGTTCATGAAAAACGGGGTTGGCAACTATGTGAAGAGCGCTTTGATTGTCACAATAGAGGATAGGTTGAGGTGAGTGAAGAACTTGCAAATCTCTAAGAAGAAAAATGAGTCATTGCAGTTCACATGTTGCGAAGGCTAGAGCGCGATATTCAGCTTCGGAAGAGGAATGAGATACTGTATTTTGTTTCTTTGTCTTCCATGAAACCAGTGAATTACCAATGAAGAGGCAGTAGTCAGTTATGGATCATCTAGAGTCTACACAGGTTGCCCAATCTGCATCACTAAAAACGCGGATTTGAGTAGTACAATTTCTGGGAAAAAACAAGCCTTTTCCGGGACAGCTTTTGAGATAACGGAGAACCTTGATGGCCGCATTGTGATGAGATTTAGTGGGGTTTGACATAAATTGGCTCAATTGTTGCGTAGCAAAGGCTATGTCAGGCCTAGTGCTAGTAAGGTAAATCAATTGACCAACCAACCTTCGGTATGGCAGTGGATCAGGAAGAAGGCTAGAGGAATCAACATGGAGTCGAAGAGTGCTATCCATAGGTGTAGAGGAGGGCTTACAACCAAGCATCCCAGAGTCCTTGAGAAGGTCAAGACAATATTTTCTTTGGCATAGTGAAATCCCCTTTGCTGAATGGGCCACTTCGATACCTAAAAAATACTTCAATGTGCCGAGATCCTTAATGTGAAAATTGGAATGCAAAATCCTCTTGATGTTAGTGATTTCACGAGGAGAATTACCAGTTAAAACAATGTCATCAACATATATAATGAGGGCAGTGAACTCAGAATGATGATTCTTAATGAAAAGGTTGTGATCAGCATGAGCATGTTGATAGCCATAAGTCAAGAGAAGGGAGGATAATTTCTCATACCACTTTACGCTTGCCTGTTTCGGACCATAAAGGGATTTGCGAAGTTTGCAACTCGAGAGGGGTTGAATCCGAGCGATCCAGGCGGTATCATCATATAAACATCTTCAGATAGTTCTCCGTGTAGAAATGCGTTACTCACATCTAATTGTTGAAGGGTCCAGTGATTAATTGATGCTAGAGCAAGCACCACACGAATTGTGGACATCTTGACCACAAGAGAGAAAGTCTCAAAATAATCCACACCTTCAATTTGAGAGTACCCCTTCGCAACAAGACGCGCTTTGTACCGTTCGATACTGCCATCAAGTAATCTCTTAATTTTGTAAACCCATTTGCAGCCAATGGGTCGAACACGAGGAGGGGTCTGAACAATACCCCAAGTCTGGTTCATCATTAAGGCCTCAATCATGACTCATGGCTTCTTGCCAACATGGATGTTGAGCTGCTTCGTGAAAGCTGGTGGGCTCAGACTCAGAGGACAAAGACATGATGTACCGATGATGAGAGGGAGAAAACATGTCATATGTGATGGAGGATTGTATAGGAAAAGAGCACGTTGAAGTTGATTGAACGGTTTTTAGAGGTGGAAGATCGCACTTGTAATCGGAGAGGTAAGATGGTGGT